GGTATCAAATATGAAGTGGATACCTCTAGCAAGTACAGAACTGTTTACATAGTACAGAGGAAATAGAAAAATTAATTCTAATCCAAACAAGAGGTAGTGAGGCTGACATGCTCCACATCTCCCTGCCATACTTATAAACCATGCAAACAGTGCTACTGATATAGAGGGAACTTTTAAAAAATCATGCTGTATCACAGTTTTAGTTTTGAATCACCATGTTTTACACAAAATTACAGAATCACAGAATGGTTTGGGTTGGAAGGGATCTTAAAGATCACCTAGTTCCAACCTCCTTGCCATGGGCAGGGACACCTTCCACTAGACCAGGTTGCTCAAAGCCATATCCAACCTGGCCTTGAACACTGCCAGGGCTGCGGCACCCTCAACTTCTTTGGGCAACCTGCTCCAGTGCCTCACCACCCTCACACTGAAGAATTTCTTTCTTATATCTAATCTAAATCTACCCTCTTTCATTTAAAACAGCTCCCCTTTCTCCTGCCACTAGATGCCCTTGTAGAAAGTCCCCCTCCAGATTTCTTACAGGCCACCTTCAGGCACTGGGAACTGCTCTAAGGTCTCCTCTGAGCATTCTCTTCTCCAGGCTGAACAACCCCAACTCTCTCAGCCTGTCTTACGAGAAGTGAAATATGCTCCAGTATTACCTCAGCCTTTGTTGTGGTGTATCTGCAGTTGAACATACATGTATGTCTTGTCTGTACCACAGCCCACTCTCAATTCTTCATCATTAAAGTAACAGGCAACATTAACTAAACAAGAAATTTATGCAGTTTTGAGGAAGAAAACAATACTGTATAAAACTGTATAACCCATCTGGTAAAAGTGAATTCAACCATTAGGACATCTTCCTATGGAACACCTTGTTACATCCACAAAGTATGTCTTGGAAGAAAGACATTTAGGCTGATAAAACCCTCTCCGTCTTCAAGTTCTAACCCACGCATACACAGAACGCCCTTAATTACACACTTTAATCTCTATGGGTTTTTACTGGAATTACAGTATTTTTTTGCAAGTAACTCTGCTTCGGAGATTTTTGGGTGTTTTATTTTTTGATTGCTAGATATTAATTTTGAAAGATCATACGAAAACAAAATATGGGTAATGATTACATCGTGACGACAGCATAATGTCAGAAATAACTATGACATTCAGTTTCCCATGAAATGTGCACATTCCTCCTACATGAAAAACGAAGTCACAACATTTCACATTAAAGAAGCACTAACAAAAAGACATACAAGTATTCCTTTTCAAAGAAACTTTCCTGCAAAGACAGGCAGCTGAGCAGTATGTAACTGCCCTCTGATATATCATCGTTTCTTTTAGACTGAAATTAGCTAATTTAATACACAGATTTTTAACAATAAAAAGTAATACTCAGGTTTAACCTAGTGTGTGTTTTTTTGCATCTAGGTCATCAGCTTTAGGAAGCAGAAAAATGCGTGTCTACAAATGAGAGACTTAAAACAGTGGTGATGTGCTTAACAAGCCTCCTTAGCATACTCTGTAAGCAAACTGAAATTGTATACCTGAGTGGAGTTAGATAGTTGGTTTTTCCACGGCTCCTCTGCGCTGCTGGTCAGGTTTGTGCGGTTATGAGGTAGAGAGAGTGCGTTTCGCTGCAGGTAAGGCACGTTTCCATTACTTCCACTTTCTGTTATGTGATTATTGCCTATCAAAATAGTGTCTGTACTACCCAGCGTTCTTGCTGTGTTGCAGGGAATAGGGCCTGCTGGAAAGGGTCCATTAGCCATAGGCTGCCCGGGGCAGGCGGGACGGATTCCACGCTGAGCGACATTAGGCACTCTGGTTAGAGCAACCTGCGGCTGCTGACCAGAGACAGAGTTTGTAGGCAGTGATGAATCAGCTGTTGGCCCATTAGGAATTCCAGTAGATCGTACCTGTGCAACTCCTGTTTGTCTCATCTAACGGAAGATGAACAAAGCACAAGAACGTTAGCTGTGGAATTTAAAAAGTAAAGATCATACAAGGTTTGTGTACTTTACTGCACTGATCAATTCCAATTTTATACTGATTTTAAGATCTTCAGAGTTGCTTTTGAGAAATAAGATGACTATCATGCTCACAAACGCATTGAGCGGATTTTAAGGTAAAGCTATCGGCATACTTTTCTTCTAGGCCCTTCAGTTTGATTGTTAACGTTTTACTGCTAAAGTTGGACACTAAGAGAGAGAAGAGTGAACAATGAGAGGAGGAGAGAGATTCTGTAATACATCTTACTACAATTATGTATTTTTCAAGTAAGACCACTTTTAAATGTGCCTGCTCACTTTAATTTGACAGTGTGGTTTGAAAACTTATACATTATCTGGTAGCCCTATAATAAAACACAGCCAAACCCATTAAATGTCAACCAGTAAACCACAATTAAAGATGACTTAACATAATGTAGTAAAGGGCATGAGAACTCTGTACAAGAGAAATTCTTCAAAATTCAGGAAACACAACAGACACACCATTACTGACTAAAGTTTTGTAGAAGAGAAAAATATTTTTGTTCTCACCTGCTGGTGTTGTTGCATCAAGACAAACTGACTCTCCAGCTGTTCCAGCATAAGTTTCTGTGCTGGATTTAGATTATTTCGGTTTGCACGCAGCTGTTCCAAGTGCTGAAAAAACAGCAATACAGTTCAGAATCATTAAAATTGCATGTGCCTTTTAATAACTTTCTTGCATACAATACTGAAAATTATCCATGAAGACAAGGCTTGTAAGGCTGAAAACATGATTGAGCTTTCTGTTACAGACTCAAACATCTTTCCACTCTGAAGTCCCTCTGCCGGGGACTGCAACGAATAAAGACTAATTTTGTATATATCTTTCTATATGATGGTGTGATGAAAACAGGGTCTCCATGCACCAGGTACATAGAAGCCTAAAACAGCGCTCTTCAGTTGTTACTTTGCTTTTTACAAAACGTCTAAATAGGGTAACAGGAATCAGAAAGGCTGACCTAGCACATACATCAGCAGAACCAAGCCTGTGTTTATCTCCAGTGCTATGGCTGCAGAGCCTTTGCAGGCTGCATTGTTCTTGCTGCCCACCAATTCTGTGAAACCAACACCCATCCCTCCTCTACCGGCATGTCGGAACCCCAGTAGTTACTGTGCAGCCATAGCCCTTTTCCCTTCTACTTTTGTTAGCTGAGCCATTTGGTGTTACGTCCCGTATCCTTCCAGCCTCTGAGCTGTCACTTTTAAAAGGTGGACTTCAAAGAGGCAGGAAAGATTTCATTCACTCTCTTCTTGCATCGTCTCTTCTTGGTTCTCCTATTCATATACACTGAACTTTGTCATGCAATTGCCAGCAAACCCAGTATACCATACCAAGACAGAGAAGCCTACTTAGATACTGCTTAGAGGAGAAATTGGATCTGAAAAAATGTGAAACTAAAAAGGGGGAAAAGTGATAGGATATAAAATAAATAAAGAAAAAGAATGAGAATGACTGGAGAGAGAGCTACAGAAGAGTGATCAGGGAGGACCAAAGGCATGTGGGAGATAGCGGGTGAAAAGGAGGGAAAGGAGAGGAAAATTATGCAGCATAATGAAGTCAGTACTGTTCAGACAGAGAAACAGCTAAAGAACTATACTGGAGTTGAGGGAAACACTGCTCAGTCAATCAGAATTCCTTCCGTCTCTGCACTGTGCTCCTGTCTATTTTTCCTTGCATTCAAAGCAGTATCTGTGATAAGAGTTTCCAGCTAGGCCTAATTTTCAGAATATGGAATTCTTGCTGAAGCTCACTGCAAGCCCTAATGAACTGAAGAGACAACAAAACATCGCAACAAAAAAATACCTGAAACAAGATTTAAAAAATAAAATCTAGCACTTCATATATTAGATGACACAAACCACAAAAAAGCAGTACCCGATTTCATTTGAATAACTGCATTTTGTATTATGTGCATGTTTGTTTACGCAATTTGACAGAAGAGGCTACCTCAGGGGAAAAAAAGGATATTACAACACTTCTACACCTCCTTCAATATCCCACACACTAACAGCAAGTAACAAGACTCACTTGGCACACAAGTGTGGCAATTTGCATATCTATCTTTAAAACATCAGAAGAAAAAAGAATTACTGTATGTTCTTACTTTATAAATTATAGAACTCATACAATATAAGCGTTCAGTTTCTGCTAGAGATCGCTTCTTTTACTACAGAAATAAAAATATTTATGACTTCTCCTCTCACACAGGGAAGCCATAAATAGTAGCACAACTGAACTGTACTGTGGGAATTATTTGGGATATATTTCACACTGAATTTCAGAAATGTGAAATAGAAAAATGTTCCAGATTTCTTTTCTTAAAAGGAAGACAGAAACAAAAAAAAAAATACATCAAAGCTTCTGAAGATCTTCAACGTACCTGTAATTTCTGTGGTGTCAAGCACCACGAATGAATTTGTTGCTGTACAGGAGGATGTGACACTGTATGGCCACTGCTCCAAACATCTGAAGTATTCTGAGAGAAAACATTACATTAAGATGTGTGACTATCAAAGGGTAAACATAACTTCTTTAACTAGCTAGATTTTATCTTACTTAAGAAAGAACTAGACAATGTTGCAAGAATAACAACATAAACGAAGAACATGCTAAAACATGCCAAGTTTCATTCTACCATTCCCATACAGTGTCACAGTAGTCAGAGGAAAGACTTAAATGATATCTAATATCTTAATAAAAAACAATCAAATCAAATTATGCAATTAATTTAAATGTACACTACTTTGAATACTTTTATCTACTGTAACATTATTACATGATGATGAAACACTTAATTCTAAATATAAGCAAAGGCAATAAACAGGATGACATGATCATCTCCCTCTCTATCATGAGACAACACTTTTTCACTTTTAAAATTATGATTGTAGTATAGTGCCACTGATCTGCATTGCCCTTATGCAGTTCTTGTCTGAACTGTAACCTGATAAAACACATCACTGAAAAATGTTTTTTAAAATTCCTAAAAACATTCCCCACCTTGATGCCAAAGGATTAAAATTTAAAGCACAAATTCTGTGCATGCTGCATTATTTTAATGCATATTGCCATATAATTTTGGTAGGGGGCTCTTGAGTTCATCAGAGTATATACCTTTGTTGGACTAGATGTTCTTTTCCTCTTGGCAGGACTGGTCAGGTCATCTACTTGGCTAGAAGGAATCATGTGTAGTGGCAAGGATTGCTGTGAAATTGGTGTTTGAGTGAGGCCTAGTACAGGTTCAGTATTTGGATGATGAGGTTTACAAGCCTAAGAATCACAGAAGGAAGACAAAAATATGGTTCTATATATTCTTAATTCTTTCCTTTAAATTATATCTTTTAACAGCCCACATATATTAAAAGGGCCGAGTAGATATTCTGAAGGTGATCTCAGTAACTGAAAAATCAGTTTCCATATGGTCATCAATGGAGGAATGTGTACCTTTGATGGGATAATTAAACCACTGCAGCATTTCTATTTAAGATGATATATTTTGAAATAATGAAAATCCACAAAGGTTCTAAATTGGTACCCCCATATCTCTCCCACATTACAGGGAGCTTCTTGATCTCATATCCCTTTGCAAATAAATCAAGGGCTTTTTATCAATAAAAGCCAGTCCTGTGCTCAAGAAAATAAGCTTGACCACTACCAATTGTAAAGAACCCTTAAAGCTGGGCACCTGCAGAACATAACCCAACTTCTCACCTGCTGTGCTGTGTTCATGGCACCCTGCCTGGAGGTAAGCTCTGCGGGGATTGGTAGGCTCCATGCCTCCTCAATACTAGGAAGTAATTTAGTTTTATTCTGTAGACTACCTTGTGGAAGGTTACACAACTGAGCCTAGGAAAAATTATGTAAAAAGCAAATTTAACACAAGCCTACTTTAGTAAGAGCAAGTCCATGAAATCTTCCTAAATGCTGTAGCTAATTATGTCTTAAAGAGAGGATAGATTTAAAATTTCGGATTTTAGAAAGGTGCTAAATATAAAGAGGGTAACCAGAATATAAACCTTTGTGAGAATCAGAACAAAGATGAGCTCTGGATTCAGAGGTCTCACAATTCCTTTTTTCTGAAATTGCAAACAAGAGTGAAAGATAGTGCGTGTGCATTCTCTCTCTACGTTATGAGAACTTAAAAATGTAGACAATACAAAGAAAAAAGCAAAGTGATGTAGAACAGTATGCTTTGATTAAATGTGCAAAATAGCGTTTATAAGGAATTAAGTTCCAATTAAAAATGGAAGAAATAAAATATTACAGGCTATGATATGCTTACAATACACATGAAAACAGGTTATACACACCACAAACGCTTTCAAGTTAAACTTGTGTGTTACTTCTCCCCTCCCCTCTGCCGTGTATTTGGAAGAGTACTGCCCGCTTCTGAAAACATTAGTTTTACCTGTAAATACTTTATCCGTGCTGCAAGTGCAGAGGTATTACTACAATTTTTGCTCCTAGTTGCATTTAAGTAGCATTTAATGGCATCCTGAGGCTGGTTGCAGGACTCATAGAGTGTGCCTAGGTCCATCCAGGCTGCAGCATGGCCATGGTCCAACTGTACAGCACAGATATAGGCCTGTAAAGCATCCATAGGCTGATTTTGCTGTTGATACAGCACACTGAATAGAAAGATTAGTGAAGTTGAGAATTAATAACAACATCAAGATACAAGCAAGTCAAATATACACACCCCCCTCAAAACCCTTAATAAACTTTGCCATTATATAAGCCATGGTAATAAGCATAAACAACACATAAAATCTTAATATGCGTTATTTTAAAAAATTGAGAAAGCAAATATAAATCAATTATTTAAACTTCAAATCAAACCAGTCTGACAACATGAAAGTATCAATAAAAAAGCTTTAGAGCCCCTCTGACACCATAAAAGAGTTAAAAAGCTGATACTCTTTACTTATATATATTAGCAGGGAATTACATCATTACCCTGTATCATTCTTACCCTATAGAACACCATGTATCTGCACTTGCTTCTGATTTATCAATAGATTGCCTATAAGATATAAAGGCATCCTGAACTTTCCCAATACTTGAATAGCACCTGGGAGAAGAAAAGAAGAACTTTGGTAATATTTAAACAAGGTAATCAATGAGGATGACTTACTAAGACTGATCTGATAAATGTTAAGTCATGCAAATACAGACTCATCTAGATGAACTCAAAACATTTGCTGTTTCTGAATGCCAGGCATAAGCAGACTCAAATATCTTAATCACATGTATTACTAATTATTTATTTCAAAAGTACACCGAAACTGCTTAAACCCTAGATTCCTGCATCTGTAAGGAAAACAGAGTCATACCATAATTTAAAAACTTACATTTCTCTCATTTGTGGTAACTTATCAACCAGTAAGAACACTATCTACTGATAGCATTACAAAGAAACAATTAAGTTACCTACTTCATCAAACAAATGGTTAGGAAACTTCATGTTCTACAAGAAATATTTCAGAATTATTAAGTGATACTGACCAACTGAGTCAGGATGGTTCCTGACTGCCTGGGAAGCTTTCTATGTGCATTTCTCACATCCCAATGTGAACAGCAAACCAGTTAGTTTTACTGCATATATAAAGCATGACATTTTGTAAAGAATCTTGCTGTTCTCTATTTTTTCATAATTTCTTGATTATTTTTCACACTCAAAATCAAAGTTATTCTGTTATTATCAGCAGAAATATCAGAACTCTAAAGAGAACTACAATTATAACACATGCAATAATACCTACCTTTTTAAAATTAAAAGCTTCAAATAAATACAATATTACAAATACATATATATTTACTAGTTTAATCTACAACAGCTCTGCTTCTTATATTGCTTGTAATAAATTTTCCTGCTGGAAGAAGAACTGATAAATTCCAAAACACAAAAATAACAATAGGAAATTTTCTTTCCATAGAAAATAAATCCCAACAGAATAGAAGAGGCAAAGGTTTGTCAAGCATGCTACCCTTTTTCATGTATTCTTGAGGTATGCTAGGAAAGGAATACAATGAAATCTAGCAGTACTTCACCTAAAAGCATCCATTAAGTCTGAACACAATGTTTCAGAAGATCATTTTAATCACAATCTAATGTGAGTTCCAATATACCTGTTTCAATCTGTCTGCTTATCAGATACATGAAGACTCTGATTAGGACAGCACTATCATTAAGTGCCCCACAAAACTTAAAACAAGGTGATGGATTTTTTTCAGTGGGAGAGGGGGATGGTGGTGGTATATTTTTAAGTAGCTTTAAACCAACTTGCCATCCAGTTTGGACAACCAGCAGAGAGAGGAAGGAAACACAAAGGAATACGTGAGGAGAGAAAAAGAGTGAATGCACAACCCTCTTCCTTTCCTCTTCTGACAGACTATGGCCAAGAAGAATACGGCACAGAAACATTTTTGCTCTAGTGCCCCCTGTAAAGTATAAGAGATGCTTCCACTAGATTTTCACCCCCACCTCCTGTGTTTGTAATATTTTCCTGTGTTTGCAATAATCCCCCTTGTTTGTATGGTTCTTGGTTTCACGCTGACCACATGACAGCTGTGGCACGATAAGAGCAGGAGCATGGCAGCTGCACACGTAGTTCATGGAGTCTTGGATCCATCCTGCTGCTATTTAAGAACTCAACTAGCTCAAGGCACATGAGACGGGATCACTGGGAAAAAAGCAGGATGTCAGCCCAGTGGATAGCAGGATAAGCCACATGATGCCTGGCTCATTTTCCCTTTTCCCTCCACACCTGATGTAGCTCTCTGCCCTTCAGGCTCAATCCTCCCTTAGCCTGCAGGCAGCAGGTGGAAGAGCCCTGTCTTACAGAAACAGCTGGTGGAATATAATTAGGATAACAAGAACCTCCAAGGAAGTCAGCGGGAAGATATTGAGGTTAGGATATTAATTTTATTTTTGCAAAACTCCTTTCTAAAGTATTTCTTAACAGAACTGACCTGTTCAACATATGGACTTGAACTGCCCTCAAAGATCTCTCCAGAACTTGAATATTTCAAGAGTTACTGCTGGTTTGTGTAAAGCAGTCTATTTTCTTAAAAAGAAGACCAAGAAAAACCACCACATTTTTATGGTTTACATCTTGGAATTAAGTTAATTCTCAAGTAAAAATACTGTCTGACAGTAAAAATTAATACAGCACTTGAATAGGTAATAGAATGGATCAATCTGAGCTAACTTGGCCTGATACTTAGTAGCAATAAATGCTGTTTAAAAATGCACGTGTACCTGGGAAAATATTTGTAGTTTAGTGCAAAAAATGACTGAGATAGAAGGGAGATTCTGAGAAAATAAAGAGAGAAAGAATTGTGGAAAAGCACCAACATTTACAGATCATTGACCAAAAAAGAGAGAATAGGAGACATGGTAAGAGGAGGAACAGGTAAAACCAGCAGAGCAGATCCAGATTACTGTAAATGTGTAGACTGAATAATAACTACAAAAAAGCAGGACCACTTGGGTAACATATTTATCCCAAATATGTTAGCACCTTGTCTTTTTAGACACCTTCCAGAAAACTAGACTTCAGTAGATACATACATCCTTTCCCTTCATTTTTCCTCTGAAAGTATTCAGAAGAAAAACAACATAAGATACTTACAACACAAGTATCCTCAAAAAAAAATGACAAATATAGTTACAGCGCCTATAAAGTTCATTGCTCACCTTCCAAGGAAATACCAGGATTGACCAGAATTTGGATCTGCTTCTAGAGATTTCTGGAGATACTGTATAGCATAGCTTTCCTTGGTTGCCTTGTCTCCAAGCTGATCCACGGTGTGATGCATCCAGCCTACAAAAAGAATTCATAAATGCAGAAGTGAAATTCCCGAAGATAATCTAACATTTTGGCACAGCAGGATATTCTTAGCATTAGTTCCTCTTTAAAAACAGAAATACCAATCAAGAATACCATTTCCATGTAATATTAGAAGGGAAACTCTTAAAGTTTTGAAGTTCTATACTAAAATTACAGGACCAAAGGACCCCAAGTTAAAATTACTTTCAGGTTCTTTTAAAGCATGTTGGGGTTTTTTTGTTGTTGTTGTTTGAATATTTTTTCCATGAGGTTAGTAGCACAATAATGAACTGCTCAGTCTTCTACTATAGAATTCTCAAAATGCTAACTCTTTCCTCCGTGAACACAGCTACCTGCCCTGTCATTGCAAAAAATGCCACCGCTCTCCCTGTCATGCACATCAATTATCTGTAAATTATGTTCAGTTTACTCCTTTTCTTCTAAATCCTCGTATTTATCCAATTTCTACATTTAGACAATTCCCCAACAGAACAGTGGTAAGAATTTTTTTTATCTCCACATTCAATCTTCATTGTTAAAACATCCTTTCCATTCACCTTGACAAATACAATTACCTCTCATCTACATAATAAATTCTGAATAGATAATTTTGTTTCCTCATCTAACCACACATAATTTTCTTTCACATGCCTTTTTTTTCTTTCAGTTGTCTCATTCCTTATGATGATTTATTCATCCCCACTTTAGATTTCCCACAATCCATGCTCCCGTATCATCTCTTACATCTCTACTCTACCACTGACTAGTTTCCACTTCAAATGAAGCACCTTCATCATCTTAAGGTGCTCCTCACCTTCCTCTCAGCTTAGATGGAATTACTTTAAGCAGCCACAAAATCATCTCACTGCCCTTTATGAGCAGAAAGGAAATCCTTCGTAGCAGTCAGCTGGCTTGCTGAAATCACTACATGCCACACTAGTCAGCAACGTCTTGCTGTTTGCTTAATTTCCATGTATTTGTCTTAACAATCCACTGCTTTCCAGCCACCATTTGTAAAATCTAAGATGTGACAATGGATTGCCCCAATGTTTTTACAGTGTCCTGCCAATAAACAGTCCCTTGTGGAACACTGTGATACCAATCTCACAAAATATCCAAGGTTACTTTTGTATGCAGTTTTAGTTACCTACAGAGTTGTATACACATCTGTACTATGTGCCCATTTAAAACCTCCGTCCGTTAAACTTCAGCACCCTAAGCTTGCCCTTTATGATACAGTCTAACCACATGAACAGATATTACCACTCGAAAGATCCAAATCAGATCTCATCTAAAACGCTAGACAAAGTAGGCAAGGCTGAGAACGGAACTGGTGAGTATTTGCAGCCTTACTTTACTCTTCATAATTAGACTGTATCTTAAATACTTCATTCTACCTGTTCTATACAGCTTATTTTTTATTCCATGGGCTTATAGTTTGTTAACAGTCACAGCAACACTTGTGCAAATGGAAGGCAAACTTCCAAACTTTAACAAATGAAAACTCAAAATCTATTGAACAACATTTGCCTAAGGTGTTTTAAGACGTATCACTTGGAAACTGTGGTCAGAAGCAGAAGTTTGAGTATTTCATGGACTGTCAGGTTAGGAGACAAGTGGTTACAGTACTGGAAAAAAAAAAAAAAAAGAGTACTTTATCTTGTCTGAAGATGGATCAAGTCAAAACCATACCCATCAGAAAAGAAAAAAGAAAAGGAGAGGAAAAAAACCCACAATAATTTTTGCAGAGATACATAACATACACTACTTTCACTCGTGGACTTCCTAAGCTGTGTTTTTGATTCAAATCCCAAGTAACTGAGGTTCTTAAGCATACAGAAAATACTCACGCTTCAAGAAAAAAAGGCTTATGTGAGGGTGGTTATTAGAATGCACATGTGTACATCAAGAACAAGTGTACTGGGTGCACTGCCAGGCAAAGCCTGAGATAAAGCTAATAGTTCAGGGATTATAAACAAGGGTATAAAAAGACATTAAAGAATTTCCTATATCTCTGGAAAGGCTGTGCCGTGATGCCTATTTTCTGTTTCATCAGAACCTTGCCGGATTGAAAAATAACATATTGTATCTTCAGGAGATCTTTACTGAGGTTTACTGACACAACTGAGAACTCATAATCCCTATCTAGTTTCGCTCCTGAAACAAGGGCTGCTTCCCGATTTTATCTTCCTGTGCGGGAAGGTGAAAGAAGCAAAAGCAAGAGAAAGCGTGGGGAAGAACAAACACAAGTTTTCTAGTAGACTAGCATAGGTAAAGGAAACTGGATCTCTCCTTTCCTCATGCATAAAATTAAGAATGTACAGAAGAATGATAACGGAAAACCCCTGGTAAGCTGTAGTTTCCTATTTGCAAGACCTAACTCAAACTCTCAACTAGCACATCGACTGCTCTTCCCATCTTGGGGACATTTTTAGCAGAACAAAACCACACATTTTTTCCATACTTCATAAGTGTGGAAAAAATGTGCTTCCCACACTCTTTTCCAGGTCTTTACAATCTAATTTGTAACAAATCCCTGTGTTGCTTCACCAAGAGGATGTGCTAGCCTAGCTGATGCTGCAGGGTTTTTCTATGCTTATCAATCACCCTCATACTGAACTTGTGGCAATTGCTTTTTCCCCAATAAACATCATCATCTCAGTCTCTGAAGAGATAAGCCTCTTCCCTATTTTAACATCTTATGATGTCTCATCTAGTTATATGGACAACACCTAGAAATGCCTCTAGTGGAAGATCACTGGAGAGTGCTTTGGGAACCTCAAAGCAGATGGCTACACTGTTCTTACACTCTTCCCTCAGCAAATACTGAATACAATTAGAGAAACAATACCAGGACAGATTTGATCTTCAGTCTCTAATTTCACGTAATTTTACGCAAGGTGGTGAACAGCGGTGTTGTCTGGAAAGCAAAAGAAATGGCACAAAAGAAGAAACAAACTGCTCTTATCCAACCATACAGATCTTACTGTTACGTCTACTTGAACTGGCCAGCATGCATCAGCTCAAATGGGTATGTATTTATCTGAGAATCATAGGGTTCTCTTCCACCCTCGTCTGTTTTGGAAACCAGCAACAGGAGCAAAGATTTTAATAATTCTCTCACAAGACATCTGAACTTGACTAAATTTCAACTCTGGCTAAATCAGCATTAACTAAGGAAAATAAACACAGGGTATTTTCATGCCAAAACAATTTTTCTGTTGGAGTTAAAAAAAAAACAAAACACCACTGAAAAATCACAACAGCAAAAAGAACCCCCTTGCACAACAAAACAAAAAATGCACAGTTCAACCTGGAAATACAAATATATTTTGACTGGCTTTTGCCAGTAGCATTCTGGCAGATGGCAGGTATTTTCTATTATTTTTTCTATGTAGCAGTCCACCACCCAGACCATGCTTCCTGAGGAGGTGTTTTTATTAGCAGCTGCTAGAGACTAAATCTGTGATAAATCTCATACTCTGATAAACACGACTGTTAACAGTGAAGAGCAAAAGAAATGGTATTATTCCCTAAATGCCCTGGTTAAGACCACTCTATCCTTCTATCTACATAGAAGTTACCCACACTACATAACTAGGTGACCTATGCCAATTGAATAAAAGGATTTAATCCAGTTTTTAGAGAACAGACAATTCTCAAAGTCACTGCCCCCTTATTGCTAGCACAGAGACCAAGACCTGTGGTAGGATTTTATGAATACAACCACGTGCCTTTGCTTCTACTGTGACAAATCACATTAAACAGAGTTGAAAAATCATTAATCGGCTACTTTGGGAAGCGTGTATTCCACAGACCATACATACAGCCTTTCTGGCTGAAACTCCTGACTATTTATACTAGGTGCCGTAATACCAAGTTAAAAAAAAAAAATGAAAGGGCATATTGAAATCAAAGCAACACTGCCGTGTGACAGCAAAAGGATCAGCACACCTAGAGTCCTGCAGCAAACTCCTCCAGTGTTTCGTTTGTGATAGCATACAGAAGACTCAAAAGCTAAACAAATCAGCCCACTCGAAAGCCATACACAACCTGTATTGCAAACAAAAGAAAGCATTGTGGCCATAATTTAGTGCCAGTTACTAATATAAATTAAATGACCACTATGTGAAGGGGGTAAAAAAAAAAAATTAAAAAAAAAAAAAAAAATGGGTATAAGCAGGCTAAATTAATATTCAGAATAATAAATCAGATGGAAGAACATGGAAAAAGTGAATGAAGAAGATTTGCACTGGGTTAAACAATTTTAACAAAATATTCTGAAAATACTTTTATAAGGCATATAGGACAAAAGTAATTTATTTTACCTACCCATTAGAAATTTTGGTCTAAAAATGATTTAACAGCTTTCTACCAATATGGAAAATGACAATTTTTTTTAAAAAAGATATTTTTTTTTCTTGTTATGCGTTTTCTTCTATAGAATCTAATGGTAAACTTTTTATTTACAGAATTAGGTTTTCATTACATACTCTAGTTAAAGAGAAAGGAAATGTAGATTTTTCATTTGCCATGTTCTTCTACTCTGCAACACAACATTTCGGTTTACTGCATACAGCCTGGCTATTCAGGGGCTCTTCTCAGAAAAGAACAGAGAGTAACAGAATCCTAACTGCTGCGCTCCTTCTGCGACAGACCACCCCCTCATTGCCCAAAACCTGTAATGCACATACTGTAGCAAGTCTAAGAGCTGTTTAATTTTGTAAGCTTAATTAAAATCTTTTCCTCCTCTCTTATTTACTTAATTATCTACTGTTATGAATTCTGTTTGGGGTGAAAATCTCACGTATCGTAATCAGTGTCTAAGACTCTCTTTGGAAATGGAGCCTTAAAAACACTGCTGAAGGCGAAGATGGAAAAAGGAAACACACAGAAAAATAGAAGTTAATTTTACATACCTAACTGCTGTAAGACAGTTGCTTTTACTTGTGCAGGAAGGTTTTCGATCTGCAAAAGCTGTTCATAAGCTTCCTTTGCAGAGTGATACTTTCTCTGCAAAAGGAAAAAAGTAAATAGATTAATCATAAAGCTTACAACAGATCACCAATAGCCACGATTTCACAGCACTGACAGCACACAAACACATTGACAAAAAATTCTATTTTTTTTGCATACAGTGCGTATGAAAGCTTTAATGAGTGACGTATATATGCTAAGAGAGTAACTTTCATAAATATAGTATTTAATATAAATTGACTACTAAAATAATTGAGGGAAAATTTGCAAATTATTAAATTTGGTCAAATCGTCATACATGCATTATACTTCTTAAACTAAAAATAAGTATACTGATTTTAAGGGGAGCGCTTGAATGTGAGCCTACATCTGAAATAAAACCCTACACAAATTCGTCTCAGAAAATTCCTAACAGAAATTAAGATCATCAGTAACTGCTGGCTGGTATAATTTTGCCTCTCTCCTTGCTTTGGTATATTTGAACTGCGTTTTCAACATATTTGTTGTCCTAGTAAGAGTCCCACAATATGTAGAATTAACACATATCCAAGGATTATACCTGGAGAATAAATGTATGGCATCTAACCATTTGCTATATAGTTTAAGTGTGCTTAAAGCATAGAAACATTCAATTCCTAACTCCTTACGTGAATAGGTCTTGATACAGAAAACATGTGTCCAGGTTGGGATCATGGTCTTTACTGACTTCTGGAACCCTATGAGCTGTTTTGTATATACTAAAGGTAAAGACTTCTCAACAGATGCATTTTTTAGAATGTCAGCATTTACCTTTGCGTTACCCTAACAATAACTGTTTAACAGTGAAAGTATTTTAAATGCTTAATTCTTCTGTTCCTCCTCTCCCACAAATGTCTAGAAGACATAAATGCTGAGGGTCTGCTGTTACTAAAAGGTTTGGAGTTTTTGTTGGTTTGGTTTTGGTTTGTTTATTTTTCTAAAAATTCTACACAGTTTTTTGAGAAAAATATGCTTTCAGGTAATTCAACATTAGACTTCATTCTGGCAAACAGATGAAGAACATACTATAACAAATGGGGACATCTAAACGCAAACGATCATTAGTTACATTTTTTTTATGCAAAGAATACACAGTACTGACTACTGCTGTTTTATAAGGGATGACTGGCAAGACTAAACAATATAAATACCTATTGGAAGTTAAAAATGTTGTTAGGTTCTTGATATCTCACAGTCACAAAAGACAACTCTGTTGATTTTATAACCCTTTTCTAGTCAGGAAAAAAAATTAAAGCAGCAATTACATACTTTCAAATGGAACAAGGGGAAGTTGGTAGAAAAGTTTTTTAATTGGTGTTCATGAAATGCAGACAACTGGTAAGAAAACAAATAATATAAATAAATAAAATATCCATGTCCAGCAAAATAAAAACAATCAGGAAAAAATTTTAAATTTAGCACTGGGAACATAATTTGTAGTTTATGACTATGAAGGATCAGCAAATGAACAGAAGTTCACTGTACAGCGTGACAGCAGTGGCAGCAATCCAGATGTCAAACAGATAAATATTAGTGCCTAATATTCACACTTTGAAAAAGATGTTTGCATGCTTGGGAGGATTCAGAAAGACCTATTAAAATAAGGCATGTTTTCCAGATCTAGGATATTTTTTACTTGTTATTTGTAGTATTATTTAGCCTTTAGAAATCTGCCTACATATATGCCTTAAAATATTACAGAAAACTGTCACAATGTTTACATTTGGTTTTATTTCATAGAATGGTTTGGTTTGGAAGGGACCTTAAAGATCACCTATTTCCAACCTCCCTGCCACGGGCAGGGACACCTTCCAGTAGACCAGGTTGCTCCAAGCCCCGTCCAACCTGGTCTTGAACACTGCCAGGGATGGGGCAGCCACAGCTTCTCTGGGCAACCTGTGCCAGTGTCTCACCATTCTCATAGTGAAGAATTTCTTCCTAACATCTATATATTAATTTCAAAGATCCAAAGTCCTTGAAGTTTGGCTGCATCATGAATGGTCTTTGAAATGGGAAGGGGGAGGGGAACCCAGCCCAACCTCTTTTTTTGACACTGTATAAGCAACCACCCCAAATAGCTAGAAGGACTCCTGCTACCACTGATGAAATAATAGAAACTAGCATTAAGCACCATGAAAAGCTACTGCTAACTCCTATCAGCACCAGGGCTATCCTCTCATTCAGAGGCTGGCAACCTACCATTTAAACTCCAGTATTGTGAAGGTACATAATAAAGGAATTAATTACTTTTTCATCAAATATTAGAGAGCATGTAATTTTCAAATACAGAGAGAGGTTCAGAGAACTGTAGCAGTGTCCTTTAAAAGAAACGAAGCCATCAGCCTGCCTCCAAAAACATCTCTTCATTGTGCCAGAGGCAATATCCAGAATGAAGGTAAGACCCTTTGTGGTTCCAAGTTTCTCTAATTCCAGAAAACAAGATACCCCTCCCAACCAGAACTATGAGACAAGCCAGGTCTAACAGGAGAACACACTGAAACTTTTTTGCTCTGACTTGTGTTAAAATAAAGTTCCTGCTGCCTACGATTGTCAATCAGAAAGCAGAGCTTAAGCACTTGTAATGTTGGTCACACAATTATATAAGGCAGCTGGTATATAGATATAGACCTGGGGCCTTTAACTTTCTATTTTACTCTAGAAAATCGAAAGAACTAATGTGTTGAGGATGCTTTGTTACGTAATTGTGTCAGTTGTGCTCCAGTGCTCAGAATGGAACCTAGACAGTGGCCAGGTAAGAACCATAACGCTCCATGAAGTTACTGAATGGTGTTTTGGGACAGGGAATTTCTGTCTTGTCATATAGCTCTGCACCAAAAGCATTCAAAAGAGAAATATCTTATCAAATCTGTATCTTTTACTTATATATAAATACCTAAAGCCATTTTCCACTGTGCCATCAAAAGACAGCACCTACTTTACCAAGCTGCTTTTCAACTGACTGAACATATAGTTTATGTCTGTCATCCATTTTAATTGCAAGTTTGTTTTCAGGTCACGTCCCTTCCTCAGTCATATAATACCTACAAACATGATAAAAAGGCATACAGTTGTCATTATGTGACCAGTTAGTCAAATAACAAATATACAATAGCTATTTCAGTAGGTACTTTGTTTTAATCTACTTATATTCTGGAAGCTCAGTAAGAGTTCTGCAATTCCCCAAAAATTTCACCTAAAAAACTCTGTGGTAGGATTTGATATAAAATTAATACCACAGCTTTATGGGCTGTTGACCTCGGATCTAAAATATTCCTATTATGTATGTTCAGCTAAAATTGAAAATTCCATGTCGAATACACTTAAAAAGCACCAGGGCAACTGGCTAGACGTGACCGTGTGTGCATGTATGAGAAACAATAGGGATATATATTAATTGACAAACTACAGATTTTTTTTAATTTCTATGTATATTTCTGTAACATTTAAAATTATAATCTTATAAAAGAATTTTACTAAAAATTATATTGAACAGGTTTTTTTGCACTCAACCTCTGATACTAGTAAATATATGTCTATTAAAAGAGCTACTCCATTTTATAGCATGACAGTCCACACACAAAATATTTTTAAATTTGGCCAAAGTAAATAAAAGTTTCTTTAGTGATTTGAGACTTAAGCCTAACTTTATAAAAGCATCTATAATCTGGATTCAACAGACTAATTACAAAATCAAATTAGAAACTCAACCACGCTTTACATGAAGTAGCTTAAAGCTTACCTGGATTTCATATAAGTGGGCGATGTGAAACTGAACTGTAAGAGTGGGAAAATCAAAATTATTAGTTTTAATTAATGACAACAATTACAAATCTGTTTTCAAGCGAGGGATAAAGAATGTTTAAAATTTATCAATGCAAAACCAAGATAAATCAAATTTTGAAGATAAAAAGAACTATTTGTTTACATTCACATTTTATGCTTAATGTAACAGAACTGACAGAATGAATATGAATCCTAACAAACCATTAAGACTGCAAACAGATATTGCAGAAAGGCAGTCCATGGGTTTTACTTGTATTCTGAAATGCAGAGTCCATTACCTTTTCAGTAAACTTAGCAATAAAATTTCTTTAAGCAGAGATGCACAAGAGAACGCACGTTAGTATTTTCTGTAGATAACTGAATTAGAGACTTATTTTCATTCAACTGTCGAAGGACACACTACATTTCAGAACAGAAAACTACACTATACGCAGCCAGCTTTATACAGGATCTTAAATATAGGTGTCTGGGTTTTGTGGGGTTTTTTTTTCCCCTTTTTAGGAACTGTCTTTCCCTTGTTAAACTAAGAGAGTTAATTACAGATGGCATTCTGATCAGTACTGTAAAGTATCTTAAATTACGTACACAAATTGCACAGAATGCCATAATACTACTAGCAGCTCTTGGAGGCAAGAAAATTGCTGGCTGGAAAAAGAAAATGAAAGTTGTTCAAGAGTAAAAGCGGAGGGAAAATTATCCTCATGCTGCTCAAATCATTGAAGAAAAGATGGAGAGCCTGAGTTCTCAGGCCTGAGAACTGCTAACCTAGACTAGCCATAGAGTGATAGATAGCTAAAGCTATTTGAGATGGATGCAATCCTTACTCTATTTGATGAGGAAAGAAAAATTTCTTTGAGACAGACTTTTACCTGATGTTCCTGAGGACTGCAAGTAAGAAAATACCTGTCTTTGAGCCAAGCTCAATTTATTTCAGTACATAGATTTCCTTCTCCTGAAGCTAAAGAACAGCATGACACAGAGGCGTACACAGGTAATCTGGAGTTCCAGGGTTTCCCTCTGGGTCATAAGAGAGGGGAAGAGCTCTTTTTGTGCACAGCTTTGTCCTTCACTACAAAGAAGGTAGCCTAGTGCACTTCAAAAACCAGGTCATAATGAAATGCATCATCTAAAATTTTAATAAACTTTTTGTGTTCCTTGCTAAAGGGCACATAACACCAATTATGGTCACCACATCGTCAAACTTCACTGTGTACTGATGAAAGAAAAACCTCTGCTGTTATTTTAGGAGTTCATTATCTAAAAATATATTATTTTTTCCCCCCTCACAGCAAAACCCCTTCAGTGTGAAGCTACGAAATGAAGCCATGCCATGCAGGGGAAAGAAATTAAAGGTGTCACATTAGAGACTGCCTAAATAGAAATAAGACATGCTTAGTACATTTCTGCTAGGAACACACTCTCTGCAATGCTGTTACTCACCCAGCCTTTAGAAATGAAAGGGGTAAGATTAAGGCAACCACAAGCATTTATGTGAGGGTACCCAACACCATGGGTCAAAGTGCACAGTTCTCCTTCCACTAAGTAAGATGGAAGAACCTGATAAGTATTTCTCATTCTTCTTCACTCTTCCTTTGGGTTTGTCAGGCACTGTGCAATAAAGCCTTTACATGGGGCCACACCTCTACATAAATCTGGGGGCAGAGGGGACTATGGGAGAAGGGTTAGGAAAACCTTACAAAAATTCAGAGATGCAATGAAAACCCACAAAGTCAGTGAGAAATAGTATGAACTAACATGAAATACAATAAAGAATTATGTAGCTGGTAGAAAACAATAAAAGCCTATTGACTTAGGAAGAATTCTGCAAATAATTTTACAGTATTATCTGTGTCTGCTCCTGATAGGAGACAAAGCTTTAGAGAAGACCTTGTAGCATAATTGCCTCCTTGATATGAATACAGCCAGAAGTTTCACCCATGTACGCAAACACCCTTTCATTAGCCTTGCTGACAGAATATTCACAATTCCATCTAAATCTAAATAAAAAAAATGAAGAAATGCTTTTCAATACTTTATCCAATGCTTCTGAAGTTAGAATTAGGAGATAATTTAACCTCAACACCAAGACCAGCATGAAGGTACCTTAAAAACTGAAGAGGGTTATTTCCTTCACAACTGCCTGTCTTTTAATTCTTACAGACTCCAGAACATGCAGCAACATATGCTTATTCTTGCATGCAATTCCACTAACTATGGAAAAATACCTGCAGGATGCTCTGTAACAGACTACAGTGTATACTGCATTTGACAGATCATACTACACTAACAGATAAGCATGTTCAAGAACAGACAAACATGTAGCTGGCACCTAATGATGAATCAAACTACAGTTAGTACCTTTTCCTACTTCAACAGTGCTAAAACCCATGCCGAATTTTAGATTTATAAATTGGCATTAAAATGACCACCAAAAAAAGATTAAGATGTCACAAAGTTTTAAACAACTGCTATTAAACATATGCCATGGCATAAGCACTACATTCATAAATAAATGTTCCTCCAGAATTTGTCTTCAAAGCAATTAATAAGCTGAGTATCAATTTTTACTTATTCCACTTACTAAAACAATCCACAATTCCACTGGAATATCTGTATCCACTGACAGATGGAGGCAGGTTGTGTAGCCTCCCTCTCTCAGTACAGATTACCTTGATTTTGAAGGATTGGTTCATTAAAAATTCACACAGTTGGGTTTTTAAGTCTTATGATCACAAAAAGCCATAATAAAATAAACTGAATCGGTTACTTACTTTCAGCGTTAGACAAAGTGCAGGGATTGCAGTCAATCAAAGCTAACTGAAAATGCTGGAAAGAAAAATTATTTGGTTTGTAAACAACGTAATAGTAGAACTTTGGCAAATTACTAAGAATAAATAAATTTTGTACTTGAAAATCAACACTGCATTTTACCACGTGTCTTAAACAAAATCATTTTTATTTCTGTTCAACTGCTTACTGGAAGAAAATTATTTTTTCTACTGCAGATGCAGAAATGCTTCTAGTAATGTATGATGGCAACAGACATCTTCACAAAACAGTTGGGATAGCGTCTGTAAGAATGACTGCACGAAACGCATGGTCAAATTGGAAAATCAAGTTTTCCCTAGAATATAGAACTGGGATTGCAGTCATACCAGCTCACAGCCTCAGGGAGATAAACACTGAAGCTTTCAATTGGTCTATCTAGAAAAGCAGAGCAAGCTTCCTTCAAATTGAGTGATTTGAAGTCTTTTTAGAAAACAGATCTCGTGTAAAAAACCACTTAAAATGAATACCTTTCCATTAAAACATGAGTTCTGAAAGAATTCGTAAGTTCTTACATCCTTTCCTCCAGGTATCAAGATAACTTCAGCTAAACATTAAAGCTTGTTTATTTTTAATCACTTTTCCTCAAAAGACACGAAAAGTATCTTTTAAAACATCTCTGCATTCTGAAGTTCCAAGCCAAGAATTTCACTCTTCTAGAAAGAAGGTCACACAATCAAAGCAATTAAGCCTGTCTGCCAGAAAATCTGGATGTGAGCAAATAAATTCATAAGTGTCATGCTAATTCAGTGATCACTATTTACAGTCTGAAATGCAACCAAGTGTGTTAAAATGAATAGAACAGGCATACAAACTCAAGTGCCTCTGAACTCTTCCATAAAATTCATAGAAAACTGCTACACAGTGCAAAATTTGCATTAACATATTAATTCAATAGAGAGTCAGGCCTAAGAGACAGCATATAAAATACTACTGTTAATAAATACAGTTATTTACAAAATATAGTTCCAGGTAGCTTTGAATACACAAGATTTACTGACTCTTTAGTATGTTTTTTTAGCACAAAAATGGTGATTTAGCTCTGGCTGCTCAGGATTCCAAACTAGGTAGCATCGGGAGCTTATTAGTGCAGCTGTGAAAAAAATAAATCTTTATTAATGGATGTATATGCAACTCGCTTTTGGTATTCGTTGTACCAGAACTACCAGATACTACTTTCCTCATGGTCGTAATAATACCTCGTATATAGCACGTCTCTATAACACTCATCTCGAAGATTAATGAGAAGAGTTTTACAGACCACCCTATTTATAAATAAGCATTTTTAACCAAAAAATTATTACAAAATTAATTTGTTATCCATAGCAAAGTATAAAGAAAGAATGCCGACACTTCACGAGCTCTGCGAGGCACACAGTTCTGTAGCTTACCCCCTTCACTGACTTATCAACATCATTTGTAATATATAAGTTTTTAAAAAAATGAAACAAACTCAATTTGAGTAATAGAAATTTATGATTTTTAATTAATATTTAGCAGTATCAGTTGCAGAAGAGAGGACAGAAAACAATGAACTCACACACGTTACTTGTAAAATAACTTTTTAAGCTTTGAGCAAGCATTAAATAATAGCTTATAAATATTAGCCTATTTCTCTGCCTTGCCTGTTCCTTTTTCTACTGTTCAGCAGCCAGACAACTTAAGATCTCTCCTCACTTACATTGCAATGCAGGTTGTGTGCCTCAGAGACATCCTTCAGTCGGTTACCATAGTGATACTACTAAGCAAGCAACTTAAAAAAAAGAGAAGGCTAAATAAAAATAAAATGCTCTACTTTATATTGCATTTTGCATGGCAAAAGGAACAGACCTATATACTTTGGCCTGTACATTGAGTATACCCGTCTAAATGGTACAAACGCATTTTTGCACAGATGTGTCATCTTGCACTGTCACTAACAATATGAAAAGATAAAGCAGAACGGAACAAATTTGTTCTCACCTACCAATGTTATTATAATAATTAAGCAGATCTAAAGAGAAACGATTGACAACTGTTCTGTAGCAGCTTTTTCAGACGGGTTATTGCAGTGAGACTCAGTGAGAGAAAGCAGGCAACCACGTAAGAAAAAATCTAACCATTTTAATATTTAAATATGCCAGTAATATCAGTGATGTACAGTAACCCCCCCCCAAACAGAGTATTTGCAACAGTGCCTCCTAAAAATTTAAATTCTTTATACTACATTAGCTGACTTCTACATTTTGAAGTCCACATTATGAAAATTTACTAAGTGTAGTAAATTTCTGCTTGCACTGTTCACTGAGCTACAAACAATAAAGAAATTGATAAACCAAAGCCTGTAACTACAGCAAAATAAACCATCTGCACTAAATAATTATCACAAAGCAATACACAGAAACCCTAGAACCTTTCACACCAAGAACCTTTGAAATGCACATATGCGAGCAAACCTACACCTCCTGCCAGATAAATAATACATAGCTCTCCGTTAAGTATTCCAAATCAGACCCAAAATAAAGGCATGCATGCATTCTAGCACATAAAAACCTCATCAGCCAAAAGCAGATCCACCCACCACAATTACCAGCACCAAAAAATTAGAAAAATAGTAATCATTTCCAACTTCCATTTCTGCCGCATGCAGAAGCGGCTAGCAAACATCTGCCCGTCTCTCAAATATTGCAGCACTGAAGCTGGCTACTGCTGTGTGAAATAGTTACTATGCAGGAGAGGCCGCTGCAGTTCAGAGACGACACACAATACCTCAAGGCAGACAGCAGTCTATAGAAATTCAAATCCCGAGTAAGAGGATTTACCTAGAAGGCAGTGTTCTGAATGTTAAAAAGTAACAGGCTCCCTTCAAGAGCTGCAGCTCAAGTCATAACATACCTTGATTTGTAGCCATCTGTAATTGCACAATTACCTACAGCCTATTCCGTCTACTCTGGAGTCTTTGACTTGCCTCTGATTGTGGAAACAATTTCAAAGGTAATCTTTCCAAGGATCAAAAGTACAGTGGATTGCATATAAACAGAGCTGATGAAAGCATTAGGTCTGGCAGTAAAATAACAGTAATTTGACACTGATTTTAGGTTACCTCATGTCTCCACTAAAGTATTAACACCAATTCTCCTAACAAATCAGTCCTTTACAATTTAAGAGGCAAGTACCTAGGGTTTTGTCAGTTCTTTAATTAATAAATGACCAACATGAAACAAACCGTTTTCTTCTTAGTACAAGATTTCCAGTACTGTCTCTGTTTACATCCAAGCCTGATACATGAAAAAAAGTAACTCTACTCCCTCCTCCTCTGAGGAGGACATTAGCAAGCTTAATGGCTCTAAGTTCTGCATTTAGTCAGCAAGCAAGGCAAGCCATCATCTGAAACCTCACAATTCTCACAGACTTACCATGAAGGAAAGCTCCATCATGACTCAGTGAAATTCTGCCAGAAGATGGCTTTTTCTGCCTGCGTGACCTAGGTGTGATGCCTGTGCTCCTCAGAGCAGCCTTTGTTCACATAAGTAGGGCACAGAAAGCCTGGCGTAATGAGCTGTGGCGGAGCGCCAAGCCTCCATTTGCCAGGCGTGTTTGGGGCCAGGGGAAAGGGTCAGGAGAGGACGCGCTGTATGTGCTGCTACATCAGTGCATTGCTCTGCTCTCCAGAGTCTTCTGAAGCCAGAACAAATTCATCTCATAATACGAAGGTTTCCGTAGCACTAACACTTGGTTGCTTTTGTCCAACATTCAAAAACAAAAAAACAAAAAAACAACCCGAAACCCTCAAGACCGAGGAAGACTGTTACATGGATAGGGCAGAAGAAAGCTGCTTGAGGACTGAAGAAACAAAAGTCACATACATACATAAAATGAATTAACAGCAGTATGTTCAGAAGAATCTGTTGTTTTGACTAGCTATATAAATGAAAAATCCTTTTAAAGCAGAAAGATTAGTAAAGCTGTGTTTTTACTAGTCAGAAAAAGGTTGCATTCAAATTTACCAACCAACATCTTACATGGTGCATCACAGTGCTTTTCACAAAGCTGTCTCAATACTCACGTTGCCTGCATCTTTAACTTTTATTTCTGGGACATCAGAATTCAGCTATTTCTGTGTTAACAGCCCAAAAAACTGCCAGTGGCAACAAAACACCATAGGGAAATGGGATGACTGGAAGCTTGCACTGCTGCTCCATCACCAGCAACCCCCATGTCACTTAGGTGGCCGGAGCTGGGGTCATTTCAGAACCTGCAGTGCTCTGCCCCCAGCCCACACCCCCACCCAGGCTGGATGTAAAGCATAGCCTAATTCTTGCCAGGTATCCGTGGCTACTTAGCCAGTATGCGTAGCTAGCTGTTACTGCGTGCCCCAAATGCCAACCTTTCAGCTGGAATTACAGCTAATAAACCTGGACCAAGATACCCCTCCCAAGGAGAAGGTGCACAAATGAAATGTACCTGCACCAATACTCCTTAGTTTGAATGCTCAACTTCTGAGCCAACTATTTTTCTTCTCATGGTTTGTTTTCTTCCCCAAAAAAAGACGTAAAACACCACAAAGCAGTTAACTCCATTTTAGCATTTCTCCTCTTTGTAATCATGACATTTCTAAAATACACTTACAGTTTTCTTTTATAGGAAAACTAAAAAACTACTCAAAACCCCGAGCAAATCTAAGAGAAAATGAAAGAAGACACTTTGTAGACTAGACATTGTGATACAATCATCCACTGCCAAACACAGCTCCACTAACAACTCTCTTGCAGTTTGACTGGCAGTCCTGGGGTAAGTTGATGATCCTGAAGGTCTTTTCCAACCTAGTTGATTCTATGATTACAGAGCCATGCTGCATTAAAAAACCTTTCAGGTTTTTACTTCTTGTGTATGTCCCTCCATCATATGCATACGCAAGCTACAAAGACTTGGAGAGCAAGTTCACTCCCAAACACTGTCTGCCATCACTTACATTTTCATTAAAATAGTATTTTGACTCATTTAATCTTGCTTTCCACAAA